AAGGTCACAATCCTCTGAACTAAAGTGGGTTAAATCCGAACTCGTGAAAGTTCCAAACATTTAACAGTTTGACTAGTAGACCCCTCTAATTAGGAGAAGTTCAGGTGTTTGCTTGTCAACTAAGTCACGTAATAACTAAGCAGTATTCGTCTGTCTCTGTTTACTGCCCTCGAGTTGCTTGAGAGCAATGAAACTTTAATAATGGAGTGGAAGTCCAAATTTCGTAGAAGGCATTGCAATTTGAATTTGAGCTCAAAGTTACTATACTACCAGTAGATCCGAACTTATAAGATAAATTGTTAATGTGTAAATTATTTATTATTCATGTATAAATGTGGGAGAGCAATGCTTCGGCACGAATGACCGGAATGATACCACGGCCTCACAGATAACCGACGTGAAACTATCAAAGCGTTGTGTTTCGCCGTGTGAGTGAGGTTACCGGAGGCTTAATCCTTCCCCTTCCCCAATCCATAAATCTCCAAATCCCTAATCCCTAAAAGGTCGGTAATTTCCTAACTAACTAAACTACAAACATTTCTGTATATCTAATTATATCTTTCTTCTATATTTAGACTATTTCCTACGTGGGAGGCGTTAAAGCTATCCGTTTGAAACTTAGAGGTACAAGAGCGGATCGCATAGCACTAGAAAGTATATAACTCGGCGGTAGTTCTCCTTAAATTTTATATTATTTTTCTCACTATCTAAAAATAACAATTGAAAGTTATTAGTATTTTTAGGCGATAAATAATTTTGTTTTATCGTATATGTAGACGGCGCCGGCGATTAGGATAAATTGTTCGTTTTATAAACTTAAGCACATTTTCGTTCTTCGGCAATTTTAAATTTCTTTGCAAACATAAAATCGTTTATAAATACTCGATTACAAAATATTTATTTACAAACTACACATGATGTGGTGTGAGGATTTGCATACAAACTTCTTTCAAGCACAAGATCGTGGCAACTACAAAACTGATATTCTTGAAACTAGATTCTTATACGCAATATGTTAAGGTTTAAAATTTTGATTGAAAACTTTATTCCTATCATAAATGCTCTTAAGACTCGTATAGCAATTGCATTAACTTGATGGGAATATATACAGTACTCTATTTTCTCTATGAACTAATGAACAAATGAAATGCTTTTTCAAAATATATCTAAGTTTTTTCGAAATAACGGTATCATTTTCTACGGATTTAGATGAAATTAATTCTAGTAAGCCATAATTAATTCTAAAGCATCGTTTTGACGAGGCTCAAACATTCGTTTCGGGCTACATAACAACACTACAATAATCACATCATCATCAAGCTATGCCTGCACTGCTGAGTAAAGGCCTCTTCTCACACATGGAGAAGGTTTGAGCATGAATCGTTTGATAAACATATAATAATTATTAAAAATCATAAGGTTTCCTTTACCTTATGTCAGTAGTGCCTCTAAAATCATAGAAAGTAATAACTCAGATAAAGTTACATTGATACTTTCCAGGTTACGTACCCGCACGAAAAGCGGGCTCATTAACCTCGATTTGAACTAAGAACTAATTTTAATAGAAGATTCCTTATCCCATACACATGTTTTCACGTACGTATTTCTGATCCTCATTCTTCCAATATTGTCCCTTTTTCATTCTAAACACGCACTGACGTACTAACACTATTCCTTCAATTCAATTTTATGACACAGGGACGCAAAATAAGGTGCTGGCGTAAACGTTCCTAAATCGCATTTGTGAGACGACATGAGACAAGAAAAAAAGGTTGTGCAGAAAATAGGTTTACTTCTACAAAAGAAAATAAAGAGTTTTTTCACTGTTCAGAGGAAATTTTATAAATATTAATGAATTTGTAAAGTTTTAAGGTTGTAATTCGTATACAATCGCATCGAATCGAAATCGAAAGATGTAACTAGTCATTATTTCTTTCCATTTATATTTTCTTCTAGCGAACAGACTTCACATCGGTACAACGCTGATTCAAAAAATCTCCACTATTTAATAGATGTTATATATGTCACCGGAAAATAACAAGATCCGTAAGTTTATCAATTTACTAGGAAGTTTATAAACTTATAAACTTTCGTAAGATTCTAAACGGGAGATAAATTGAAATATTTTACGTCCACATTTTCGGAAATTGATAAACTTACTGAACTCGCTCGTAAAATAATAAGTAAGCAGTAACCAAACGCTACGCGCGATCTGATTGGTTGGCTGTCACGTGTCAAACAAAACTAAATAAAACAATATACAAGTATTTAAAAAAAACATCACAGTCTCTAAATACATCTGAATACATCATAAATCAACTATACACTTAAAATATAAAATAAAATTGACGATAAACCAAATGTTTACCTTTAATTTGGAAAGCACTCCTGGCACCATCCCTCCTCATAAAAAGTACAACGTGACTCTTTAATCAACGATTCACTCTCTTAACGTTTACCTATGGAACTCAAATCATAAATATCACATCGGAGCAAAACGGATTAAAATATTCTTCTAAGTTTATTAAACAACATAGAAATCTACACTTTCAAACGAGATAATTACTTTACCAAAGTGTTGTCAGAAAGAAGGATCGACAGAAAGACGCTAGTTTACTTAGTTTAAACTATTAAACATCTTAACTAATATTATAAATGCGAAAGTAACTCTGTCTGTCTGTCTTTTCCTCACGCCTAAACTACTGAACTGATTTGGTATAGACATAGTTTGGAACTCGAAAAAGGACATAGATTAGTTTTTAAACCAAAAATCTGCAGGAAGTCACTATTCTACGCGAATGAATTCGCGGAAAAAAGCTAGTATGGACAAATTATTTTTTTTTTAAATTGTTGCCACAATGTTGCGTACTGTAAGTTTTTGTCGTTACTCACGATTACACACGAACAAACAAAACATTCACATTAAAAAACTGACTCGACTAATAACATACATCATCAGCCTATAAGTGCCTACTGCTGAGCAAAGGCCTCTTCCCTCACGGAGAAGATTTGAGCATTAATCACCACTCTTGCTCAAGGCGGATTGGCGATTTCAAACTTATAATTAGAAATTATAATTATGTCCAGGTTTCTTCACGATGTTTTCCTTCACCGTATGTCAGTGATGTCTAAATTATCTTAGAAAGTACATATAACTCGGAAAAAGTCATATAGGTACTTGCCAGGTTTCGAACCCTCATGAATGAGAAGCGGGTGCCTTAACCTCCGGGCCACCACGACACCACGACGAATAATAACACTTCTTATTTAAAAAATGGTATTATTACAATTAGTATTTTCAATAGTAACTTTAATTTCAAAATGTCACCCACCAATTCTATAACATCCTGTATATCAGAAGGCGATTGAAGCACTTCGATCTTCGAACGGAACGTAAATTTCCCTGGAGGAAAGTTTTCAAGTTACTATTGAAGTAAAAATTTATTCGGACATCGCTAGCTGAAGTCTCAACTTCGAGTTAAAGAAGTTCTTTACTGAGAAATTTAGTTTTAAAATCGGTTTGAGTTAGACTGCATGCTTGTTTAAAGTTTTCGAACTACATAATGAGTTCTAAATATAATTGTGGCAGAGCCAAGCTAAGCAAAGCCACGAATGGGTCGGGACGAGCGCAGTAATACCACGGCCTCACAGAATACCAGCGTGAAACAATAGCGCTTTTTCGCCGTGTAAGTGAAGTTACTGGAAGCCTAATCCCTTCCCCTCTCCCCATTCCTTATCAATCCTTAAATATCCGAAACCCTTATCCCCAAATAACCGCTAACTAGTATATCCTTGCATTTTCAACAACGCGGAGTTGGACTAAAACTCTTAATTACTGACACACTTAATCAAACGTTCATTAATGTTCGTACATACACACTAAGTTGGAGAGCCATTTGTGACACGAAATGGCCGGAACAAAGCTGGCGTTGAGTTTCGTCGTGTGAGTGAGGTTACCGGAGGTCCAGTCCTGTCTCTCCTCTTCCCTCGTGCCTGAGCTCTTGGTTCCCAATCCCCAAATTCGTAGCCCCGAAAAAAAGTGGCTATTAGTAGCCACTTTTTTTCGGGGCTACGAATTGAAACCATGGACGGTGCCAATTACTCACTATTGTCTCACGTACCGTATGCTCGTTTGCTGCCTTTTACAAAAAAAAAAAAAAAAATTTCATTTTTCGTCATATAAAAACCAACAGTAAAATTACCATTTCGGGAAAAATCCGTCGTGTCAAGCACATAGTTACATAGTATTAGGTAGTATACAAGATACTTATTGACATTGCGATAACAGACTATAAAGTCATTGCACACTACAATGTAGCTGAAGCCTCTATAAATAGCTACTACATATTTACAAGCCCAGAGGTTTTTGCGGACAGCGATGTTGTGTGATCTTCTCAAGAGAAAACTGTTATTTAAACGTTACTGATCCTTTTATTATATAAGTTATTGAGTATGTAATAAGGGAAACATTTAAATGTTTGTCTTTATTACCTATTCATACTCACGATCTACTTCACCAACAATTTTGCCTGCGAAAAACACCGTTGAAAAAACTCGCTTAAGGTATGCATCAAATAAAGAACCTTAATATTAGCACTCGCCAACATTTCACCAAGTACTTTTCATATAAAACCTGATGAAATTCTTAAAACAGTTTTCATATCAGGGCGAAATGTAAACAAATTTTATTACCAAGTTCAAAGGAACGTAGGAAATTGCTTGTACGGATAATATTCGCGTTATGGATAAAAGTTAGCTAAGTCATCTTTAGGGACTACTTTCGTGACCGCCCTCGCGTAAATTTTTATAAATATTGACTGTCGTTGCTTGTATGCCATCTTCACCAAAAGTAAAGTTTGCGTTAGAATTGACAATTCTAAAATTAGATTATCCTTACACAGAAGCTAGAGCAGAATATAGTAACGCGAAGTAATTACCCACCATATAAATCATATGGAAAATACCTAATCTCTATCATTAAGTTATTAGATCCACAGCTTCAAAGATAACCAATATTTATTTGAGAAAGCCTTCGACAAACTTCAATTACAGATTTAGCATGCTATCTTTGTCAATAATGTTACCGACATTATAAAAGACGAACCGTATAATTGTTTAATTAGTATGATAAAATTTGTTGGAGAAGACGCATTAAGGAAAAAATCAAAAATGGCTGCAAAAAAGAATGTCACAGAAATAGAAAACAAACTGGACAAAACAAATGAAAATGTTGACTACGATGACCTAATATCTGCAGCTGGTGAATGTGGACGTTATCAAATACTCCTCTTCTTCTCAACGTTTCCTTTCTACATTTTTGGAGTTTTCGTCTACTTCTCGCAGATGTTCATGACAGAAGTATCTCCCAATCACTGGTGCAGGATTCCTGAATTAGAAAACCTAACTGCCTTACAACGCAGGGACCTCGGTGTGCCCAAAGATGAGAATGCAAGATTTGGATACTCTCAGTGTTCAATGTATGCAGCCAATTGGACCGAAGTATTAATAACAAGACAAATGCCAGATCCAACATGGAATACAGTACCATGTCAATACGGATGGGAATTCAACGAAACAGAGATACCATACCCTACCATTTCAAGTGATTTTGAATGGGTCTGCGACAAAAATAGTTATCAAGCTACGGCTCAATCAATATTCTTTGTCGGGTCAATATTAGGAGGATTCATTATTGGATGGGTTGCTGATCGTTTTGGAAGAGTGCCAGCTGCTGTAATTAGCAACATCCTGGGTTGTGCAGGAGGCGTTGCTAGTATTTTCGCTCAAAACTTGATTCAATTTTCAGCTGCAAGGTTTGTCATGGGTATGGCTTATGACAATTGTATGATTATGGCTTACCTACTAATCATAGAATACGTTGCCCCTAAGTACAGAACCGTGCTGGCAAATCTATCGTTTGCCATATTTTACTCTCTAATTGTGACCGTATTTCCATGGATCATCCTTGCTTGCGGTCACTGGAAGACAATTGGTCTAGTCACTAGTCTACCTTTAGCGTTAGCTCTGGTAACGCCTTTCTACTTGCCTGAGAGTCCGAGGTGGTTGCTGTCAAAAGGTCGTGTTGATGAAGCTGTGAATAAAATTCTCGTAATCGGTCGGATCAACAAGAAGGAAATACCAGCAAAACTAATAGAACAATTTAAACTATCAGCAGCAAATGCGAAAGAAGAACAATCGGAGAGTTGTTTGGAAATTCTGAAGAGACCGGTGATGAGAAAAATATTTATATTAGTTTGTATTGAATTCATGTGTTGTACAATTGTGTTCGATGGGCTAGTGAGAAGTATTGGTCAATTAGATTTTGACTTTTTTATGTCCTTCTCATTAGTGTCTTTTACTGAATGCCCTTCAATGATCATCGTGGCATTTGTCATGGACTGTTTAGGTAGAAGATGGCTGACTATAATCGTTATGGTGATCAGCTGTGTATTTTGCATACTAACTGTATTTGCTAGTGGAATACAGTCAGTGATATTCGCAGTTATCGCGAGGTTTGCTGTGAACATGTCATATAGTGCTGCCATGCAGTGGGCTGCTGAGTTATTGCCAACATCTGTAAGAGGATCAGGAGTATCAATAGTACATATTTGTGGCTACGTTGCCACAGTTCTGTCTCCATACATTGTCTACTTGAAAGAATACGTATACTGGCTGCCATTGATTGTAGTGGGTTCCGTAGCCGGATTGGGTGCGCTGGTTGCCCTGGGTTTACCTGAAACAGCAAGAAAAGACATGCCGCATACATTTGATGACGCAGAGGAATTAGCTAAAAATCAAAAACTATGGACCTTACCGTTTTTGGAAATGAAGAAACAGAAGAACGGTGAAGTCAATGAATGCTTTGAATCGGAATTGTGAAATGTTTTGATTTAAAAACATTACTCTCAGCTGTAATTAAAAACTAAAATTGTATTTTAATGTTTGCTAATTGCAATCCAGCATGGAGTTTAATCAACAATCAAATATTAACGTCGGAGTGCTCATTATCAAAACAGAATGGTAATATTTATTTATATTAAATGCTGCAATCTTTATTTTATATAACTGTGCTTCAAAATTGGCAAATAATATTTTTATGTATGTAGTACCACTCAGTATAAATATGTTATGAAATAATATACATGATGGGCTTATTTACAAATATATGATAAACAACATTTCGAAGCAAAAGTTAAAAATAAACAGTATCAAACAAACTTGTCATGTACTTTAATATCCTACATTTTTCAAACTCGAAATTCCAAATTATTATATCCATATATTATATTGAAGAAAATCGTGTTAGTTACAGTATATTTATAACTCAAGAACGACTGTACCGATTTCTATGAGAATTTGTGGGCAAGGTAAGGTAGGCAGGGTAGGTAGACAAATGACGGGAGTGTTATACTATGGTGAAACCACAGCAAAAAACTAATTAACTATACACAAACAATACAAAACACACAAATTACACATATCAATCGAAACCGCTGCAACATTACAAAATTGAAAAAAGAAGGTCAATCATTTAAAAGTCGTTTTCTTTTTTATTTGAGGGTAGTAATAAAATGGGACCACTCGTTCGCTAGTTCCCCTGTGATCTGAACGATTTTAATATTCAATCACGAACTGTTCCACGGATATGACGTGAATAAGTAATGGCAGTTCGAATCCAATAGAACAGCTAAATGGAAGCATGCAAAAATACCAGGTTCTATTAGAAAATTAATGTCTACATTCTAGCGCATGTACCTTGACCCCAATGAATAGTTAAGATCTACATATGTGCACCATGCACTAATGAAATAAATGATATTCTTCATTCTTTCTAGAAGGGCTGAAACGTTCCCTGTTATCCTAGGTATATTGTGATAAAGAAAATACTTTTGTTTTAACTACTAAGCATTTTTTGAACCATAAAAATGATTACAAATACTTGGTTTAAGTTAACGCATTGTATACAATGACGTATTATATATAGACACGTCATGAACCAACATCGCGGCGCTTAAAAACGGCGAAAATACTAGATAACTACTTCTACGAGTAAAGAAAGGGAAAGAAAATATGACATCGTATAGTGGAACGCCTTTGCTAGAGGGAGATAAATATACATCTTCAGTTACATCGGCACGTGACTACACCTTCATGCGCCGGCCGCCCTAAAATGGCGGGCGCCGGCGTCGAAAAAATAAAATAAAAATAGGTTGTTTGGTGAACTTACGCATGAAATTACACATTTTTGTCTTTAACTTTTGGAGTATAATTTGTACATCGTCTGAACACACACGACGGCATGCTTTCTTTATGTTTCGCACAGGTTTACACACACGACATAAATTAAAAACAAACGTAGCGTCGCGCGGCAGGTTGGTGCGTAACTAAGCGCGATGTTGTCAATTGCCTTCATTTCATGTTGTCATTTTAGAGCGCGGACAACGTATCTATAGTTTTATACATCGTTGATTGTATATGTATATGCATGCGTATCCGCGGCTCAGGCTGTTACAGGAGAAGAAAAAGGGGGGTTACTAAATAGAAAGTCTTACATCCAGGGGCCCGAGTCTACTATTTTCTAAGTGTTGTCATTCCTACATGATTACATTGTCATTTTGCTAAAAGTTCGTAATCTGTTAATTCAAAATGCCTGATTATTGGCGTTCGGCGATTTCTGCACCTTAACATTCTAAACGTAAATCATTGAATAAAGGAACTGACATTTTTTATTAATTGACCGCATAATGTCAAATATTCATTTGTCATTATAATTATTTCAATGAAGTGGCATTGGAAAGTCATAATGACGCTATCGTGTTAGTAGATTACCAAACTTGTTAAAATCAACAATTTTGAAACCAATTAATGATCTACTATTCTGACACTATTGTTATAGCAGACTCGGGGCCCAGTCTCACCCCACCCAGACTGGAAGATATAATAGGATGATATTTGCCTCAAAAATAAAAAATAAAATATACACGTATATGTACTTTTATATCCGGGGTTGCGGGGTAAGCGCAATGAGGCACCGCGGCCTCGGCCAGCGCAGGAGAAGGAACGGTGGTGTTTTTAGTCAGTAAGAGTCGACACTATGGGCGGGAGAATTCGTTTCTTGATTTTTCACTCACAAAAAATTATACTTTCCACAAAACGGAACGCAATTTATATGTATACACAAAGCTATTCATACAACCAGCTAGTCGAAAAAAAGGTTACAAAAATAGCCAGTTTTTTTTTAAACTGAACAAATAAAAATACATTCAAAATATTGAATTTCAGCGTGGGCCCGTAACTTTGTGATTACATATAGCACATAATTGCATGATTTATTTACCAAAGAGGTGGAAGACCAGAGGTCATCCTACAAAAGCAACAATTCCAGCCAGTCATGATTCATTGAAACTGGATCAATAGTCAATCACCGGGAATAATGGGTGGCCCCAAGGAATATACCGAAACAACGACAAACGATAGTTCTGAAGGTTTATCGTTCACATTCAGGCTACCCCGGGTTTTTTTAAATGAATCATTGCCCCACACTATGATTTTCTCCTGTGTTATGGGTGCGTTTACAAACATACAAGTCCACATACACATCATACCCTGACCCGGAACAAAGGTTTGTGGATCACACAAAGAGGGGTTCCGTAAGGGAATCGAACCCGCGACACTGTGCAGTCCAAGTTGGGGGTATTTATTCTTTTCTTTCTACGCTGACCTTGAAGACCTTGTATGAAGAATACAACCAAAACAGAATAATGCTCGTAAATATGTACAACATATGTATATTATAAATAAAAGTAAATAAACGTTATTTACTTTTTATTTATTATACACTTGTATTGTACACCACATAATAAGGATACACCTATAAAAATCAGAAAGGACAATAGACGGTATTGTCTTAGAAGATGTTTTTTTCCAATAACCAATGCTCAAAATTTTTAATACCCCGACGGTTATCAGTTTTTGACGACGCCGATTGTTAACCACCATCAGTACGTTATGTATATACTACTTCATAAAGAACAAAAAAGGTCATAATATCTAAATCTTCAACTTTTTATTTTTAATGACGATTTGAAAACCTCCAACTCATGAAATAAAACCTTTTTTGTATAGCCAAAATAAGCTTAAGCTCGAACAGATCAACTCTGGTAAACTCATATAAGTATAAGGATTACAGATTTAGGAACGAAGTTATATGTGAGCACCGCTTTCAAAGTCAACGAACACAAAACTATACTTTCTAAGTACTGACGGGGCTAATGAGCGTGAATGAGGAAAAAGAATTTGGAAAAATGTCGTACAAATATAGCCAGTACGAATTTCCTTTGGGGAATTAAGAAGAAATGTGACGAGTAGATTCTTTTTTGTTTATTCTATGAAATAAATAATTACGTTCTAATTTAGTGGACTTCGTGGGATAGGTAGCTAGTTCCAAATTCGAGCATAAAAATAATACTAGTCAAAGTCAAAGTCAAAATCATTTAGTTACAAGTAAATTTAATTGTTATTAAAGATACTCACTGACCCCACAGTCAAACCATTACAACGGTTTTGTGGGGCTTAGCACATAAGATGGCTACCTTTGTGATATAAGATAAATTATAAAAAATAATTTATTCCAACTAAACCATATATTTATAGGTTTTTTTTTATGTAATAGGTCGGCAAACGAGCATACGGATTACCTGATGGTAAGCAATCAGCGCCGCCCATGGACACTCGCAACGGAGGAGTTACGAGTGCGTTGCCGACCTTTTAGGGATTAGGGATTTGGAAATTTAGGGATTAAGGAGGGATTGGGGGGAAGGATTAGGCCTCCGGTAACCTCACTCACACGGCGAAACACAACGCAGTGGTTATTTCACGCCGGTTTTCTGTGAGGCCGTGGTATCACTCCGGTCGAGCCGACCCATTCGTGCCGAAGCATGGCTCTCCCACACTTACTAAACTTGCTTGGTTGGTACTTATGAAACGAACGTAGTGTTATGGATACGCCATCGGGATAGTCGATTGTTAAAGTTCTTTAATACTTTATTTGAATTACAATATTTACTTTTATTCTTTACGTGAATCAAATATTACTTATTAATATTGACCGCAAACAACAAACAAACAACACCAAAAAAGCATTTTAATAATAAATGAGTCGTAATTTAAAATGGCATTTGACAGTATCATCAGAGAAAATGGCTGGGATTCGAGAGGATTCGAACGATGGTGACATGGTGTTGACGGAAAGATTTATATTTATTACTAATATATTATACTTTGAAATAATGTAGGGATCGTGGTGGTTTTACTAGTTTTGTACAGATAATTTATTTCTTTTGGCGCTATACCAACAATAGGTACCTACTGAAACAAAATAGTCATTTTGGTAAGAAACATTTTTGTAAGCGAATCCAACTTGTACTTATTCGGTTTTTTAATCAACATAACAAAACACACGTTCCCTAAAGCACCGCTTTGAAATATCTTGCACAACGCTCGCTCTAAACTTTTCAACTTTATCTTAAAGGGCGTAAAGTTTAAATTAATTCCTTTTATTCTTCACTCGCGAATTTTCTTTTATACTCTATTCAACACATCACAGACTTTCATGCTATTACCGTACAAGTACTTTCACAATACCGTTCAGGGTAAAGCAATAAAAATTGCCTCAAATGACTTGGAGATTCTGACAAATGGTTGCAATTTTTCCAACTTTATTTTCTAATCCTGTATCTTATTGTTGAGGGTATAAAGGTTATTGTTGCCTGGCTTGGTTGTTTTTTTTTCAGAAGAATATATTTCCCTTTGCAGTCTTGTATCCTTTATAATGTTCTCGGTGTAAGGTCGTATTCTCTATGGGATTTCGTTTTGATGATAAATTGCTTCGATTTATTTCCCTGCCGGAACGAACGTCACAGGTTAATGGATTTTTTTCTAT